ATCCCCTAAGTTTATTCTGCAGATACTTCAGAAGCAGGAAAATTTTGGGCAGACCTGGCAGTTCGCAGGAATGTTCTTGTGAAGTCATTTTATATGGAGGAAGTGAAAGAGCCAAGACAGATTTCAGGAAAGCTGTGGCCACTTGTCCTCCAGAGTCACATCTCTCACACAGCAAATGGCACAAGTCTTTCTCAAGTGGTAGATCATTTCCCAAAGTTTAGCTTGTGGCATTCCTTCACCTTGGCTGGCATTGGACTTCACAAATTTCTCAAACATGAAAGTCCTTGTATTTTGAGAAGTCTAATGCCATTCACCTCTAGTTATGCCTTACTGGTTGTGAAAATAAAACTCTCATTGAATAAATGAGGAGCAAAAGTTAACATTGGGAACGTCTGAAATTTCAAACAGAAGAAATAGCTCTCAAAACCCCCAATTCTCATGCAAATCAGTCCAGCACCAAAAATGAGACCACTAAAACCAATAGCAAGATTTTAACCTCAGTAGCTTCAGGATTTCATTCCAGAAAACTTTTGCTTGTAGCAGAAGTTAGATTTAAAAATAATTCATAGTGAATACCAATGCTCTCTTACGGACCAACTACATGATATTAGAGAATATTTTAATGTTCCAAAATAATATCCCTACAGCTCAAAAGCACCCACACCCTTTTTTTTTTTTGTGTATAAAAAATTAACACTGTTTCTTCTCACACAGAAACTAGTTTCTATTTCCTTTAAGTGCCTCTTTTGCTTCAGAGATGTATTATCAGTAGTTGATTTCTTTAGGTCACATAAAAGGCAGCAACATTTCAAGGAAATCACTTGTTTTCATAGTTTATATTCAGCTACTGACTGGCAAGTGGATGTTCTGCCATGGGACAGCACTGCTTGACTGGGCCCTCGAGCTCAGCATTGCTGTGGCCAGCTGAACCTCAGAGAAATCTATGTTGAACACCAAGAGTAAAGCTAAAAACTGGCCACACATGGAACTTGACATCATGCTTAAGCCAAAATGTAACAGTCAGTAAAAACCTGGGCTGAAATGGGGGATGAATGAGGCTAAGGCCAGTCAAGAATGACCAAAAAGAAACCTAAAAGCAGAAGTTGGAAGGAGAAGCTTGAAATCGTTTACACCAGCAAATGGGACTTAGAGTTCATGGAACTTTTTATTCTCTTTGCTTTAACCAAACTTGTCTAGTGTTGTAACCTTGGAAATTTTCTCACATTTTCTTCTGTTACACTCTACCAAATGGTCACCAGAAAGAATTGAAAGCAATGCATGGAAACAGGTTGAATATTAGCAGGTATTTGCAAAACTCTTTTGTGCACATTCAGTTGGATGAATTACTCATCACAAACCTCCAAGAGATCTGGAAAACGGTAGAAACCAGCTGGTGACAGCCAGCTGTGCTACTGGTACTGCAAAAAGTGCTCCTCTGTCCTTTTTTTGGACAGTCAAATGAGGTAATGCCAACCTCAGGACAGAGGGTTCTGTATCAAATGATGTGATTACTCTAAAAAGCCCTAAAACTTTAAGGCTTAAAGTATACCTTTTCCATTTTCCTGCAATACTCGAAAAGGAGACTAGCTCAAAAAAAAAAAAAAAGAAAAAAAAAAGTATTTCAAGCAGCAAATAGCCATCATGCCCTGCATGAAACAGAGGAAATTACTATATAGGTAGATTAAGATGGTGGGAGATGAAAAAGACAAGTCTATTACCAACCATCTCATGACAAAACTGAAAAAAAACCAGTAAATCAGGACAGAAGCCATGTGAAAAGCTTTCCACAGGGTCGGAACAGATTTTTTCTCATGGTATCTTGTTAAACCCCACCAGAGCCTGGACTGTACTTCTGTCTACAGGAAACAAGGATAGTGAACCTGAATATGGATGAACACATATGGTTTTGAAGTATTGTATTTTTAAAATTAAGTTAAAAATATGTAGCACTTTTGACACTACAAAAGTCAAGTCAGAGTATTCAGAACAATAGAATCACACATGCTGTAGGGAACCAACGTCTAGTCCATCCATAGGATCTAGTCCAACTCCTGTGCAAAGCAGGATCCCCTCAATAAGCAAATTCATAGATAGCGAAGTATTTTTAACCTAGAAAATTCCATGCAGGTGTCTTCCTGGGTTTCTGTGGTCTGCAGAAGCAGAATGTTACTCAAGTAACAAAAATATTCTTGTCAGCCCTGTTAATCTTACAGTTCCTCTTTTCCCTGCCACTGTAATTGTACATGTACCTAAGCCTTGTAGACATTTTTCCCATTCTTGAAACTGGGAAACTTTCATTGGGCTCAACAAGTAAAATCTTTGAGATGAGTAGGCTTGCATAGAAAGAGTGAATCAATCAGGGAAATATTCCATCAAGACAAAAAAAGGATGCCTTGAAGATTAGAGTTACTCAAAGGAAGAAATAATTTATCCACAGAGGGGGAAAATAGTGAATAATAACTGAACTCCCACATTGACCTGTTTGTGGCTGGAATGCAGTAGGATTTGGCTCAGAGAATTTGAGCAGTGCTTACAGGAAGATATAAGGGTACATTGTCTTGACACTTCTTGTGACCTGAAACCAGAAATTTAGGTGCCAAACTTCTTCCTGGGTACACACTGTTCATCTCTTCTCCAAATCAGATACTTGTAACTCTCAGTTTTATTTCTGTTTGCCAATCTCACATGAATCTTTACATAAGCTGAAAACAGACATAGCTTAGAGTGAGCCAGAGAGGCAGCACTGATTTTCTTTGTACAGGGATGAAAAGCAGCAGTAGTAGGGCAGAGATTTGGGCCTACTACTGGTAGGACTGGAAAGGACTCTCTTGTATATTAAAAGCATTATTAATTCAGAATATGAGAACAGCTGAACATAAGAACATCAGCTAATGTCAGGTGTTTTTGGTAAGCACAACCTTTTCTTCCTTCACAGTATAGTACTCCATGTATTCCTACCACACTTTCCATTGTCTTCAAGTCCAGTAGCACCAGGATCTTATAAACAAAGGCTACCACCTCCTCTAGAGTCCAGTGGTATAATATGTTTACAAGTGACACTGTTATCTAATACTAATATAACTGCTCTCCTCTACCAAATAAAGTACCTGGAAAACAATTCAGATATTGTGTGACAGCAGCTTTACCTTGATTTAAAGTACAAGAATACAAAATATTCTTCCTTCACTTATGAGAATATTTATGCAAGAAAGTGAAGTACGAAGTCCATGCAGTAGCACATGATAATCCCTTTCAAGAGGAAGGTCTAATGCAACACTTTTTACTTGCATTGATATATTTAACAAATCCCAAAGGTAAAGATGGCAATTTCATTTTAAATGGAGAACAGACATTCCTTGTCTTGCAAATAAACTGCCAACAGTTCTGCATTGATAATAGGGACAAACAAGCAAACTGTCCTATTCTTCAAGGAATCAACTCTTAGACTCACAGAACTTCACTGGTAGCATACTTATACCAGCTTGTAATTCTAAATTCAAGATATTGCCCCCCTTTCAGCCTGAGGCAACAAACTACGGGGAGATGTGACAAGACTTAGTGATATTTCCCTTGAGGTAACTTTTGCCTATTGCCTTTTACCCGTTTACTGCACCCTTCTGAGCAAAGTTTGGATGCAGTCTCTGAAACCCTCCCAGCAATTCACTGAGGACCCGCAACGAGCCGCTGAGGGGGCTGAATGTCAAAACTTAGCCTGCTAGGTATGAAAACAAATATGATGTTATCACATCTCCTCTTTCCTTTTTGGCCTTGTTCAGGGCACTTAGTAAGTATCACTGCCGTACAAAGGTCAGTGTTTACCTGATAGCATGGAGATAAACATTTCCTGCAGTGCAACCTATGCAGACACATTTGTGTCACTACTAACGCTCAGGGGACCAGTAGCCTCCTGTGGTTAAAACCACTCTGATGCCACAGTCTGTCCCTGCATGCACATCTGTCTGTAGGTAACTTTCGGTCTCCCAGTCCACTAGGAAGCTGTAGATACAGAGCAGTTACCATGGTCACATGCAGCCCTGCACAAATAATTTACAAGCTATTTATAAGTAATCAAAATTGTGTGCATTATTTAAGACAATGAAACCTTTGAAACTTTCCAGAGAAAATGCCCAACAAACAAGCAGAAATCAGCATGCCTAAGGACTAGATTAAGTACTTAAAACTTCTAAATCATCTCAGACAGAAAGCCTCAATTAATTCTTCCCCTTGCTTTGTATCTATGATTTCTCCTTGAAATCATAGATACAGTGGAACTCAAATATGTAAAAAGAATACACACCTCTCTCAAACCTGTTGTAATATTCACATTGTCTTTACAACAACAGTTCTTTAACTCGATCTACACATGCCAAGTTATTTAAAATTATGGAGGAGTTCCTGAAATATGTCAGTGTGCTCCCAAATAATCTGACTTGGTATAAGTAAACAAAATTAAGTTCTTGTTGTTTCAAAACCCTTTCCTATGAAAATCACTTCTAAATATTTTCACAGCATGTATCTAAACAAACCAGATGCCATTATCTAATGTAGTATTCTAGTTTGAAGAGCAACTGGTGACTTGTAAAGGTCTTGTTGTATATGGAAACTTAATATTGGGGTATCTTAAAGTACTGTTTCCTAGCATTCCATTGAGCCCACCTAATCAATTGAAAAGCATAAAATTTCACAACACAGGCATGTAACAGGTGGATTTTGTCAAGAAAAACCTGCAGTGCTCGCAGCTCATATGATCAAACCAAGAAGTACTTGTGATTTGCAAGTACCAATCAGAAAGAGACAAGAATTCAAAGTTCTAGTGGGAATTTTTTTTTTTTCTTTTGGTAACAGACATACACAGACACACATAACAACCCCAAAGTAATTCAAGTCTCATCCGGTTTAACCTCAACCACGAGACACCGCTGTCTGTTTTCTTTCTCAAAAGACTCACGTCACTCTGCATCGAAAAAAGGGAACTTCCACAGTTTGTGGTGAGGATACATGATAAACAGATCTGTTCACACCGACTAGCAGCGCTGCCTGCGTCAATAAAAGGCAGCAGCAGAGGCAGGGAGCTGACATTTGGTGCTTGGAGGATTATCGTCGCAGTCGCTTCACGTTAAAGTAAAATGCCAGGATTTTTTTTTTCCCAAAACAGCATGACTGAATTAAATGGAAAAGACGACTGCAAGCTTGCAGAAGGCAAAATCCATAAAAAGAAGCAAAAGGCTTTGTAAGTATATATAACTTAATATAAACTTTAATGGATTAATAGTGAAAATAACACTCTGCTCAACTTGGACAGTGTTTGAGGCTGAATGACTACACAGCCTGCTCAAAGCCCAGGAGTACAGCATCATTAAAGAAGGCTTGAGCTGATGTATACCAACTAGTAGATTGCTTTAAGCAATCAGAAGTAGAATTTGGATACAGTGGGGGCATCTTAGTCTTTTAAAAAAATAACCTGGATACGTAACTTCCCAGACTTTGGTCATAGGATAAAGGTGTCTGTGTCTGTTTAAAACTTTGAAGAACATTTAAGTGGAATTTAAATGCAACTGCAATTTTAATGGATTATAAAAATGTCTGTTCATTGTTTCAGTGGTGCAGACCTCAAAAATTACTTGAAGTGCATGGTACCACATATTGAATCTGGAATCAAGACTTCCAACCCTAGAAATGCCATGTAAGTACTAAGATACACCAAGTTATAAAATATAACTATAGCTAGATTACTGTATAGCAAACTACTTCTAGAATGAAAAATATTATAATTATGCCAAAATTATTCCCAAATGCAAGAGAAGTGATCACTAGTAAGCAGAAACTACTCATGGAGTTAAGGATTTTCTCAGTGATTTGATGTTTGCATCAAACAGTAAGGGAAAAGACACCTCAGAGTTAAATCCATTTTCATCAGTGGAATATTGTATCAATTCTCTAAAGATTTACAAGGAATGATGCTTCACACTTCAGTGTGAAGACCAGGGCTATTACCATACTCACTGCACAAACATGGAAACAGAAGTGCAGGTACAAAACTATTTTATCACAGTTACAATAAAAGTTTATCTTAATGGGAACCAAATTCAGGATAACATCATAGTTCCCCATTTTTCCATCTCTGATTATTTTTCTCAATGTCAGATGTCTCCCCATGGTCTCAGGTTATGGTTCAGCCATAAGTTTAGTAAATACCTGGTACATATTCCTATAATAGAATAACAAGTTACAAAATTTATCTCTTTCAAACAGGCAGACAAACGCCCAACATTTCTTGCCTAAAGTCTTTTCTCTTTCTTGTCATCTTAGGCTTTCTGCAGAGGAAGTTATACAGTGGTCACAGTCTTTGGAAAAGCTCTTGGCCAGCCAAAGTAAGTCTATTACTTCAGTATGACTTTGTTCTTACTCTGGGGACAATATTTTATCTAATCTCACCAGATAGGCAAAGTTGCAGCATTATACAAACACTGCCAGAGAATGGGCATGTCAGTATTTTACAACTCTAATTTAACATGGCCACTGGTACACCTTTGCTTCCAAGTTTGTTTTTTTCTTTCCATTTTCAGTATAACAAATGACCCCCCAAATAGCTCATTTTGGGGCTTTTTGATCAGTCTTCTATCCTTGGATAATGCATCAGTTTAATTTGGAATTTTCTCTCCACTTGTACTCGAAGACAATCCATTTAAGAAGGACTAATATCCATTGGTATAATTTGGCATCCAGGGTCTAGAGATCTAAAAACACTGAACATAATTAGGAAGACTCCTATCAGACTTAATAGTCAAGTATCCATAGTATGTTGAAGAATAAAAGAACAATGTATTTTGGCAAGATTTATTATCAGATTTCAATGCAACTCCTGTTATTTGCTTTATCCTCCCTGGTCACAAATATTGTACAATAAATGATGATGTATTTGTGTTGGTTTTAGGTGGTCAAGGTGTCTTTCGGGAGTTCCTGAAGTCAGAGTTCAGTGAGGAAAACATTGAGTTCTGGTTGGCTTGTGAGGATTACAAGAAAACCAAGTCTGATCACTTACATGGCAAAGCAGAGAAGATTTACGAGGAGTTTGTACAGTCAGATGCTATTAAACAGGTATGTACAAAGGTAATCTGTGCAGTGTTACAGTACAAGGATTCTGGAGAGTCAGAAGATAGAAGTGTAGCTTCACTGAGATGCTCATAAATTCATTCAGTTATGTAAGAGGAAGACACAGACACATGCTTCCATGACCATACTTGCATTATTGCTGTCTTCGGCTGCTATCTCACAAAGAGTCACAGGATACAGGCCAATACTTGGGAGAATCACCAGCAGAGCTCAGCAAAGGCCTCAGAAACTCAGAACATGATGCTCTTCTGAGTCAGCCCAGTTTGAATTACACTGATGATGTTTGGATATTCTTAAGAGTTTGCTAGCAGAATCACTGTGGAATATTTCTTGCCTTTTAAAATATGTGAACCTTCTGAAAAAATTAAAAGTTCTATAGGTTGATCATATTTCAAAACTGAAAAAATCTCAACATAGGACTTCTCCTATTAGCTGGAGGTGTAACTGGAGGTTGTTCCTCTCAATAGTCCACTGTTGAGCTGTATTACTTTTGACTCCATAAGAAACTGCATTTCTATAGTGAATAGCAATTTTTGTGCCTAACTAGGATACACTCAAATTACCTCATTTTGCCATTCTGACTATCGCACTGAGTTCAACAGGTGCAAATTTGTACATTGACAAAGTGATAGATGTGAAAGACAGCATTTTTTTTCAATGGCATTTGTTTTTTCCTTTCCAGATCAATATTGACTATCAGATGAGGGAAGCAACAGCCAAAAGGGCTCAAGATGCAACACACACCAGTTTTGATGAAGCCCAGAGAACAGTGTACATCCTTATGGAAAGGGATTCATATCCCAGATTTTTAAAATCCAAGGCCTACCTGAACCTTTTGAACCAGTTGCAAACAAACTCTTCCAAATAAAGTGTTTGAGGCAGTGAAGAGCCAAGTAGGCTCTGTGTCAAATACCCTGTCAAGAGATCCTTCAGTGTGGTTGGATCTTGACAAGGAAAATCCCTGCTTGGGAGGAGGAGTATGAGGGAGATGCAAACAGCTCCACAGCGAGGAGAACACAGGAAAAAAGCTGACAAGGCTGTCACAAGGGTGAGAGCAGCACAGGGAGAAAATATTCTCCCTCCCATATGCCATGGAGCCAAGACATGATATGGATACCATTTGTTGTTTGAACTACATTATGAATGTTGAACCAAGTCTTAGATCCTGAAGAACTGCTGATTATTAGGAAGTGCAAGACAAGCAAGCTGAGTGTTGGGAAAATATTATCAAACTCAGAAGGAAAACAAGGATGACTGACAATTTTGTGCATAACAAGAAAATGCCAAAACAAGACTGATGGGTTTTTCAAAAATCTGTGAAGTGTTAGTAAGTGTGAGCTCTGTGATGCTGTTACATCATATAAATACTTGATAAATGGACATGTCTTAAGATTGATGTGGTTTAATATATAAAATAATTATATAAGCTGCAATTTTGCCAAGTTTGTATTCAACAGGCAGGTATGTAGCATCTTTGCTGTTTAACTTATTGCAAAATAATAAACATTTTTTCAAGAAATCTACTTAAAAGTCAAGTTTTATGGTCATTTTACATCTTATTTTAAGTGATCTTTCCATCATAATTACTGAAGTATTGAAACATGATTGCCTTCGGTCCCACTGTGCCACTACTTCTCATCTCCATGCCCAAATACTGATTTTACCTCCACCACTTTACTCTCTTTTTACCTATTTTACACAATCATAATGTTAATTATCTGGAGTAGGTGATCCTGACCTACACAGAATCATCCTCAAAACCCCCAAAGATCAAAACAAACATGAAAATCAGAGAAACAAGTCTGAATTTCCCTGCTATTTTTCATACTGCTCCAGCTACCAGAACACGAATCAAATCTCAAACATAGAAATCATTTAGCCAGTGAGCCCATGGTTCAATCCCCTTTGATGATGTGTTAAGCACACAGATCACTCATGCTTCCTTACATAGAGAGGTAGCAACTGGTGAGACTCACTAGCAGTCACATTGCTTGTGATATTAGCATTACTCAACCTAATCTTGGCAAGATCCAGACTGCAAATTAAAATAGCAATACTAGCATCAAAGGTCATTTAATTTAACTGCAAATGTTGCATTAAATTTACTCTAAAACCTTAGGAGTAGCTTATGCCATAGTGGTTAGCCATGAGAATTAAAACAAAAGAAAAAAAAGGTGTGATTATGCTGAACTATGTAACTATGAACATGAGCACTACCAAAACTGCAGTGTTTGAGACCCTGTGATATTAGAGTTTATAATGACAATAAATCAAAACATGCCCTGGTCTTAATCAGTTACCATCCTAAGACACTGATATCACATGGATGGCAAGACAAGATTTTATCTCAGCCTTGCAAATTTTCCATTTTTCCAAAATAACATGAGCTTAGTCAAGCTCACTCTATTATTCTGTACCAAATGGAGAAGCTATAAACCCACAGACGTCACCTCATGGCGAGAACAGACTGTGTTCTTACTGCCACCCTTTGGGGACTCTGGGACCTCCAAGGGAGGACAAAATCTTCTGTGTTACAAGCAAAACAGCTGGAAGGAACATAGGAAAGTGGCAGATGCTGCCAATTTTCACCATCACCTACTGTGGTAGCTGAAAGCTGCTGCAAATCACATCTTCCTCCTTTCAAGGCAAATAAATGCAGAAGATCCTGGTTTTGCAGTATTATTTTCCTTCTGCTAAATACATATACTTGAGAGAGTCTGACTGCAAAACCTGAATGCTCCTGAAACAATGTCAACCAGTCTCCAGTAGCCACTCTTACATGAATTAATTTTTCAGGATTGAGAGTCTGACTGCAAAACCTGAATGCTCCTGAAACAATGTCAACCAGTCTCCAGTTGCCACTCTTACATGAATTAATTTTCCAGGATCATTGGGATTAAATTTAATTTCTGTGAAGCAGGAATAACAACTAGGCCTCCCACACAAGGTGCATCCTTGTGTTTGTTCTGACACAGTCAACATGGTCTAAAAGTCATTTTATTTTTGTGACATAACTTTGCATAACTCTATAATGTCACAAGTTTGCATAACTTCACCTCACAGAAGACAAAAGAGAACCATGAAGTATCAGCTACCCTCTAAACAGTCATTGCCTTCAAATAACATTGCTCTTTTGATTGTAAATCCCTTAAATTATTATGGCCCCAGTCTTCATTTGCTCCCCCTGCAGTTTCACAATTTCATTATGATTTAGCCAAATATCCATATGGAATTTCTGACTAAAATCATACCTCATAGTATAACCAATTAGGATTTATATATTTTTTAACAGCTTATTGCTGGCAGAGAAGACTGTTTCATTGACTGTTGGGGAGACTGCTGAGTGGTGTACTGGGTGAATATGTTCTTCCAACTCAACAAAAGATCTCAGAGTAAAATGAGATACTCCAGCTCAACTTAGCTCTCAGGGTACAATGATAAGGAGAAGGCAGACCCTGGAATTGAGCCATGGCTTTGGGTGCTGCAGCAGCCATTGCTCACTCCAAGAGATGGCCAACATCAGTGTCTGCACCCACTGCCCTGTGATCTTGCACTGGGTAGAGCAACTCTTTTCACCAAAGGCAGAGAGCAACCACCACAGTGCTCAGGTATTCACAGACTGCCTGGCACCCTGACCTTCTGCAAAGGGTCACCAGGTCTGCCCCAACTGGAAAGAGGGATTCAGTGACATTGTAACATGCTGGTTAGAGTGCTCTAAAAACAAGCTCAACCTATTCACAGACAACACAACTCTTGGGCCCCACACCAACCACTTGTATTACACAGTTAGTATAGATCAGAATATTTGAGGAGGGAAGAAGGAACTTTCCACTCGTTAGTATAGATCAGAATATTTGAGGAGAGAAGAAGGAACTTTCCGCTTTCTTCCACAAGCATCTCTCCCTACTTCATGATTTGGTACAGTGAGAGAACTGAAAGGTTGGACTTGATGTTTGTTTGTTTAAAAGAAACTATTATTCCACTCCTTCCAGCCCAGCCTTGGTTCTTTTTTTAAGTCTTTCATGTTACTTGCAGTAAAAACCTGAAATCAACTGCAAAGGTCGATCACCCAGGTTGTTAATTCCAGAGATATTCCAGCCCACTCCAGCATCCCTAGCAACATGACCACGTTTCACCAAGCAATAAACAGCATAGCAGAAATTCAGGCTGGCTCTGGGATGCTGTTATAAGCCCAGTATTATATATCTGTTGCTATAGCAGAGCTATACAAAACTGGATGCTTAAACAAGGTCCAAGAGATCTGGAAGTATTTTATGGTGCTTTATAGTGCCATCTGTACTAATAGACTTTGTAAAAGGAAGAAGATATATGTCATGATCCAATGGTACAACTGAAAGAATTTCATCATTATTTTAAGACACTTATCAATATTTACATTTTAGAATAGCCCAGAGATAGGTATTTCTATTATTTCTTTCAAAAATGCAGTATATAATGCTTATTTTGCAGTGAATTCTCTTTCTGAAACATTTCCTAAATTGTGATCCTTGGGACTCAGAAAAGCAACAGAACATACAGATCAAAGGGATTGAGGACTCAGTATTTTTTGTGACCCTTGGTTCATTTTACAAGGTGCATGCACCTCTTTCCCTTTTTTTTCTGCCCACACACATGAATAGCCCCAGTTTGGTAGATTGGTTTCACAGCTGTGGGCTGTGCCCTGCCCAGCATGGCAGGCTCTGCTTTTGTCTTTTTTGGGCTGGGGTTTTTTTTTCTTTCTTTTTTTTTTTCCTATCTAGATTTAGCTTTCCCTTTTTTAAAAAACTATACCTTAAAAGAATGGAAATTTGCTGTTCCATTCACTGTCTCTAAGAGAAATAGTTGAATCAGATTAGCCATCAGCTGCACAACAGTATAGGAAAACAGGATGCAGTGAATGGAAAAGCTTTAAGATTTGACAGTAGTGACTCAGACTTTTCTCTGAGTGTTCTACCTTATCCCTGAAGGAAACATTTTCATTGTTTATCAGTGTTTCAGTATAAAAATCAGTCACTGTACCATCTTCAGGTACACATCTGAAGTGAACTGACTGCTCCCTGCTGCAGTTTTCTTTATAGGACTTGAGAGTCCAGCAGAGCCTGATGTGAAATTAGAATAGCTTTAACCTCTCCAAAATTAATTCCCCAAAATAGTTATTTTTAGTACTATCCCAGACAAAAATATGATCTAACATAGTGCCAATTTCTCCCATATATTGAAAGGGACATCTGTGGGAGCCTGTTAGTAGAGACATTCTATCACTATGCACAGTGAAGCAGGAAGGAAACTAAAGCTGAGATAGTGATAAATAGCACAGACTCATCACCTTAGACTCCCATCCCTGCCCACGCTCTGAAGCAGTAGGTTTTCCAGATGTCATCTCCTTTACAGTTGTGAAATGAGTTTAAGCAGCAAAAATAGACAATAGAAGCTGGAAAAATGACATATTCTCATCTTCCATTCAGAGACACGAGTTGATTGTATCAGTGTGTGTAATGCCTGTCAATGAAGCTTTTTGAAACTAAATCTTTAGTCATTGAACACAGGCAGAGATTGCAAAACAAGTTCTTGCTTAATATTCACTTGTCTTGGATGCTCAGAAACACAGTTGGAAGACTTGTCTTGGATGCTCAGAAACACAGTCAGGGAGGAGTTAAGGTAAATCCCTGGCTTTGTTTGGATAGATATAACCTCAAAGAGTTTAGTCACAAAAAGGAGATTTAGATCAAACAAGAACCAATGTGCCTATTTTGGAAATACAGTCACTCCCCACCTTTTCTCAAAACATCCCCTGAAAGTACTCTCTTGAAAGCCCCCAAAGATGATCAACATCTTGTAGAATACTGAGCACTTCCTTTCAATTTCTTC